AATGAAGTCCATATAAATTTCTTCCCAAATGAGGTTTGGTACTAGTTTCGGTTGAAGTAAACCCTGTTTCTTTGTAGTCATGTACTTATTTTGTTGACAGATTGTGCAGTGTTTGAAAAATATTTTCCCATGTGTATGAATACCAGGCAAAGAAAATATGTTGATAAATGAGCAAGAGTGGGTTGTAGACTAGAATGGCCAGCACTATGAGTTGAATGATATTTAGTGATGATAGCCTGACGAAGTTCTGTAACTGGAGGTATGCAGATCTTGTCCTTGTAGTAAATGATTCCCTGTTTTATCTGAAATACTCCCTGCATTGATGTATCTTAGAGAACTTTGTCACTAAAATTCTTGCCTTATGAGTAGTTCATGTAATAATCTTGCATCTATTTTAATAGGATGGGAACTGGTGAAGAGAGGGATAAGAGGACAGCTTCAGATTCGATTCAGCTCAGGGCATCCACAACTTGGTTGGCTTTCCCAGGTCTGTAAAAAATCTCAAAATCAAAACCTTGCAACTTTGCTGCCCATTTTTGTTGTTCTGGGGTCTGAATAGTTTGGACTAATAAATTCTTTAAGATTTTCGGATCAATATAGATATGAAAATGTCTACCTATTAAGTACTGACACCATTTCTTCATAGATTAGGTGATGGGGTACATTTCTTGGACGTACACTGAAGCAGCCTGTAATCTGTTACACAACTTCTTGCTGAAAAAGGCCAAGGGATAACCCTGTTGGGATAAAACAACACCCACAGCAACTGTTGAAGCATAAGTCTCAAGAACGAAGGTTTGGGAGAAATCTGGCAAGCACAAGACTGGAGTTTCTGTCATTTTTTATTTCAATGTATAAATGTTGTCTCAGCAGTTGCACTCCTTAAAAATTTAGTAGAACCCAATAAATCAGTGAGAGGAGCGGCGAGAGAGGCGTAATGATGCACAAATATGTGATAAAATCTGGTGAGGCCTAAAAAACCCATGAGTGACGTGAGTGAACGTGACTGCGGCTAGTCGAAGATAGCTTCAATTTTTTCCGGATCTGGGGTTACACCATGACTGGAGATAATATGACCTTGATAATCAACAGTAGGGGCAACAAAAATGCACTTTGATAATTTTGCATAAAATTGGTTAGCAACAAGCAAATCCAAAATCAACTTTAAGTGATCAACATGTTCAGAAAGTGAGGAACTGTAAATGAAAATATCGTTAAAAAAACTAAAACAAACCGTCTTAGGTAAGGGCACACCAAGTCATTCATCACTGATTGAAAATAACTAGGAGCATTAGTAAGGCCGAAAGGCATAACTAAGAACCTGTAGTGTCCGTCAAATGTATGAAAAGCTGTTTTATGAGTATCCTTTGAAGCCACCCAGATCAGGTGATACTTGGAACAAAGATCAATCTTAGAAAAAATAGTTGCAACACCCAATTCATCAAAAAGTTCATCTATTGTTGGGATGACAAAAAGATCATGAATTGTGATCGTGTTTAGGGTACGACGGTCAATGCAGAAATACCAAGAGCCATTTTTTTTGCATACTAGAAGCACAAGAGAGGAATAAGGGTTGTGGATGGGTTTTATAATATCCTCATGAAGCATGTCTTGAATTATAATTGTCATAGCCTCTTTTTGGATATGAGGATAACGATAGGGTTTAACGTTAATTGGGGGTGTTTAAGAAAAGTGGGATATGGTGGTCATGAGGGAGAGATGGGGGTAGGCCTTGAGGGGGCTTAAAAATTGTCTCATAGGATGATAAAATGGTTTTAATCTGGCTGGGAGCTGAAGGTGGTAGGGAACTTAGAGTAGAGTTATGGGTAGGTGATGAGGGAAATTGAGAATCATGGGAGGGTTGATAAAGAAGTAGGTGGATGAAGGCAATTGAATTTGTGTGTAGTAGGTGACAAAATTGATTGTAGGAGGATGGGGATGAAATGGATTTTGAGTCACCAGAGTTATTTCAGTCTGGTTGTAATTGAAAGAGATCTTAGGGAATGAAAAATTAGCAAAAAGGGGTCCAAGGGTTCTCAACCATTCCATGCCAAGAACGACATCTACCCCTTCAATAGGAAGTAAATGGAACAGAATTAGGAATAAGTTGTTTTGAAGGGTAATGGGGACCTGTGGGAAACGTCTAGAACATTAGAGTTTGGAACTGTTACCAATCATAACTATGAAATTGGGAATTGATGTAGTGGAAAGTTTTAAGTGGTGAGCAATGCGAGGTTGTAAGATGTTATGTGTGTTTCCTGTATCTATGAGGACTGTAACCGGAAGACCCTTAATTAATCCTTTAAACTTTAGAGTCTTGGGGGAAAATTTTCCACTAATGGCTTGAGGAGAAAGTTGAAAATAAGTGTCTTGTAGCTCTTGTGATGAGGAATCAAGAATCTCATCGCCAGATACAGAGGAATCAAGCTGGACAGAATCTTCATCATCAATCATCAATAATAGAAATTTCCTTCCGTACATCTGTGGCTCGTAATGAATTTGTCGTCACAATTAAAACACAAACCTTGTGTGCGACGCTCTTGAAGCTGGACATTTGAAAGGCGTCAGATTTGGAATTTAGTGGGTTCTTGTGGTGGGTTGTTGTTTGGGCCCGGGGTAGTGGCAAGGGGGTGGTAGTGATTGGTTTGAGGTTTTCCGAATAGAATGGTAGGGTAAGTATAGGGGGTTAGGGCGGGAAACTTAGGGGGAAAACTTTGAAATTTAGGTTTTGAATCCTGTATTTTTTATTCAATTAATTTGGCAAGCCTAATGGCTTGGGAAATGGAAACATGTTTGTGAATAGAAATTTCATTTTGAATAGCAGGTGCCAAACTTGAAATAAAACAATTTAGGATAGCTTCATGAGATAACCCCACAACTTGATTACCTAGTTTCTCAAATGCAGCTTGATATTCCACAACTGATCCAGTTTGCTTTAGTTTAAATAGTTCTGCTTGGTGATTAGCATATGTTGAAGGACCAAAATGTAATTTCAAAGCTCTAGTAAAAGAGACTCAATCTAACAAAAGTTGATTTTGATGCATCCATTTAAACCAACATAATGCTTCTCCTTTCATGTAAAAAGACATCATTGACAATCTGTTTTCTGGTGGTAATTGGTAAATATTAAAAAATTGTTCAACTTTGGAATAACCATTCTAAAGGATTTGAACCATTAAATAGGTTAAGTTCCAATTTAGGATTACGGAAATAGGGTAAAGGACTAGTTTGGGGGACCTGGTTGTATAGAGGTTGTTATGAAAATTGATAGTTAAAATTCTGGTTGGGTGTGTATTCCACTGGAAAGTAGGGTGGCAGATAGGTTTGTTGGATGGGAATGGCTTGTGAGAGGTGGTTGTATGTTATGAAAGACAATGGATAAATAGTGGTAACTTTAGAGATTGAGGAGACAATGGTATGTAATGGTGATTGGTAATAAATGGGGATAGTTCGAGTTGGGGTTTATGAAGGTGTAATGACATGGGAAACTACTGTAGTATTCATGGGAACAGTAGGAAATTTTTGTGTGATACCTGATGATGAGGTTGTAGCTTGCACATCGGCAGTAGGTTGCTGCTCTTTTTGGTGAACCAGATTGGTTAAAATCGACATAAGCGAGTCATAGCGATTGTCAGCCACATTTCTCTCGTTAGTTATTTGTGTGTTGAGTTGTCCAATCGTTTGTTGCAGATCTGTAGCAGCTGAGTTGAAACGTTCATCAAGTTGTTGTTGGTTTTCCTACAAAGTATTGTTGAGGTGTAGCTGGGCTGTGTGAACAGCTTCTTCTATGATCTCTTTAGAAGTAGGATTAGAAGGTTTAGGAGGGGCCATGAGGATAAAGAATGAAAACACCAATTGATAAATTGGTTAGAACAACTATTTTTCAAAATCTAGATTTAATCCATTAGATAAACATAAAACAAGAAGATGAAATAAAAATGAAAAGAAAGAGACTGATTAATTTTTCCTACTTCAAAATAACAGCATAAAACTGTTTAAATACAACATGTCAATAAAACGTACTAGGGCACGAAATGACCTAACCCAACAACAAAATATAACACAAAATAATAAACTATAATTATTTAGAGACATAATTCTTAAATCAGTTGGACCTTGTTGTAATTCGCTTGGACCTGCTAACATCCTTCCCTTTTCTCTCAGGCAAAGAAGTTTTTTAATAGGAGCAAACGGACTTTACATTTATTTAATTTGACAGGTTACTTTATTAAGCCCTTATTAACAATTATTCAAAAACATACTTATGACAGTGAATTAAAAATACTCTTTTTTATGCCAGTTAAAAACATGTTTATCAAAATGAAAAACTAATACTCATTTTTTATGAGAGTAGCATTATTAAAGTGAGAGATAAAAAATTATTAAAAATGGTGGTCTCAACTTTTTCCAAAACTATTGAATGGTTTATATGAGATTGGCCTTCCACATGCGATGGCAGATCAAACAATAAAAATAGCAGTAAAATTTGTGTGGTATGATTCATTGCAATTTTGATGAGGTCAAAATTATCAATACTCTTTTTTTTGTTGATGGATATTATGACAATGAAATAAGTATTGTTTTTTATTGATAGAAAGTTAGTAAACTACAAGTTTTCCCCCTTAAATATATTCCAAAAAAAGACATCCTAATTTGACTTTTCATTGTATTTGTTTCTTCCATGATCTCTATATAAAAGAATATAATTATGACAATTGTTCTATTGAGACAATTTGATTACTCCTTTTTATTGTAAGAAGGAAGAGGGTTCTTTCCATTTGGCAGAGAACCATCATGGCAAAAATGTACCATCTCTTCCTTTTGATCATTTTAGTGGTAATTATACCTACATTAGTGCATACTAATGTCAAAGAGCAACCTTTATATTGGGATAATCTACTTCCATTCATTAATGATACATATTGGCGGGAAAAGCAGCGACTGCTCAAAAAGCTAACAGCATAGCTTATACACCTGACCCATATGCAGTTTCTGAAAATATGACTTCTGTTGTTAGCGAGTGAGATTTGTCCAATTATCATATTTACTAATATGTTCAATTTTATAGGAGGAATTTCAAACCTATTTAGTTTGAGAAAATATTTCCTTTTTTATTTTATTTTCTATTATAATTGCAAAACTACCTCCATATTTTCACTATATATCGACATAAAACTTTAAAAACTCGAAATATTGTGAAAACAAGAAATATCATCTCAAACAAAATAGACATTTACATTATAGCTTAATGGATATTATATATTACATGTTTATTTGTCTCTCTCATAGTATTAGTTATAAGTGCGATCTTTCATATTTTAATATTTATTTTATTTGATGAGCAGAATGATAATTGGCGAAAATACAGGAAGAAGGAATCTAGCCGGAAAAAAACTAAAAAGAGGTCATCCATGTATGGCTACAAACCCCATTGACAGGTGTTGGAGGTGCGATCCTAATTGGGCAAAGAACCGCAAGGAGCTTGCAGATTGTGTGCAAGGTTTTGGAAGAAAGACTACGGGTGGAAAAGCGGGGCGTATCTATGTGGTAACCGAACCCTCAGATAATGACATGGTTAATCCACGTCCAGGTACCCTTAGGCATGCAGTTACAAGAAATGGACCTTTGTGGATCATCTTTGCTCGTAGCATGGTCATTAAGCTAAACCAGGAACTCATTATGACAAGTGACAAGACAATTGATGGACGAGGAGTTACTGTTATAATTGCTAGAGGTGCCGGTTTTACTATCCAGTTTGTCAAGAATGTGATCATTCACGGGATCAAAATTTTTGATATTACAGTTGGCAATGGGGGCTAATTAGAGATGCTGAGAACCATTTTGGTCAAAGGACAAGGAGTGATGGTGATGGAATTTCGATTTTCGGCTCTAGCAATGTTTGGATTGACCATGTTTCTATGAGAAACTACAGAGATGGACTCATTGATATCATCATGGGATCCACTGCTATTACCATTTCGAATTCCCATTTCACAAATCACAATGAGGTAACTAGTAACCTGATAATTTTATTTACCTGTTTTTGCTTGTATAAAAATATTACTGTTGGGTTTGAAATGAAAAATATTACCTCATTTTGGGTTTTTTGTTTGTTTGTGTATATATGATGTAGGCGATGTTGTTTGGTGCAACTGATGGCTATGATGGTGATAAGAAAATGCAAATTACACTTGCATTCAACCATTTTAGTAAGAGATTAATTCAAAGGATGCTAAGGTGCAGATATCGTTTTATCCATGTGCTTAACAATGACTACACTCATTGGGAAATGTATGCAATTGGTGGAAGCAAAAATCCTACCATTATAAGTGAGGGTAACCGATTCATAGCTCCTAACAACCCCCATGCTAAAGAGGTATGAATCTACTCATGAGTCATGCTTAGCCATATAAATATATGCTTTATAAATTCAAGTCATGCATTGGTAAATAAATTTATAGTTAAAATTTTAATGCTAACATATTATCGTGTCATGGTCATTAATTGCATCCTTACTTTACAAAGAAATTTGAAAGAGTTGCTTGTAAAATACTATTTTTCTCCTTCATTGTCCTTTCAAAAGACATGATTGAACAAAACAAAGGAATAAAATAAAATTTATGAAACTAGAATATAAAATAAATCTCACATTATTTTTCTACTTTTGTTTTGAAGATAACAAAGAGAGATACATCTGAGGAAGAGTGGAAAAAATGGCAATGGAGATCAATCAATGACATGTACTTGAACAGAACATTTTTTAGACAAGGTGGACCTTTGCTGACTAACAGAGCATTCTCAAGAAAGGACATGATCAAAGCTAGGCCTGGAACTTATGTGGGAAGGCTTACTCGTTTTTCTGGTAGTCTTAGATGCAGAGCGAGAAACGCTTGCTAGTTTCCAAAACTCCCTTCCTGAAATCAAACATCATTAAACATTAACATTCAATATAGCACACAACAGATAAGAAAATAGGTTCATTGACGATGTCTATGAAATTCCCATTAGATTAGGTCATTTCAAAATCATTGCTTGTCTTAGGGACTTGTTAGAATTAATTAAAAAAAATTAGATATTTTAGATGGATTGTTAGTATTCCTAGAGCATACAACTTGGTAGGTATTACTTACTAATCAATTATTCAATGTATTTATTACAACATTATTATAAATACAATTACTGTGATCTAACTAAAGAAACTGATAGTTTACATAATCATATATAACATTAATAGTATTTTTTGTGGTCATGTCTCTACAATTTTTGTTGGGTCACTTTTCCGATCTTGGGGCTAAATGGACGTAGGTTAAACAAAGTGAACTTTCTAACTTGCAATGAGAAATGATAACACGAGTAATCTAATTGCATAACTAATGCTTTGCCAAATAACAAAGTCTAAAGAAGAAAAATGTTGACATTATAAAAAATGTATGCACTCAAGGTTATGTTCTTCCTTTATACATAAAGAAATCAGAACTGAATTTTGAGTTACAAATTAAAGTATAAAATTTAAGATAAGTAAGATAAAGATACTCTCTTAAAAGTATATTAGTATTAAACCAAAGAAACTATGATAATTTCCATTTAAACTAGTTTAATTAACTTATGTAAAGAATATATATTTTGATTCATTATTATACACATAGTTAGGTCCATTAAAACCAAAAATGAAATTCCATTAAATTGAAATATGTTTTTGATATGTTAAATTTATACTTACTTTTCATAATGACTTAAATACCATGTATTTCACATTAAATAAGATATAAACAATGCTGTTTGCAACTCTATACCACTAAGCTCTAAACACACAAAAAATAGGATTTTGGATTCAATGAAAAAAAGTTTATAATTTTCTATAATATAAGATAATTTTAAGTGTGTTGTAAACAAAATGAATTATTTATTATAAAAAAATAATTCGGAAAACTTTATAACACATTCCTTTTCTATATGCATTGGATTATTGCTTCCTAACAATACACTCTTCCTTATGATAATCAAAATAATAAGAACCACAACTTAAATACCACAATTTAAATATTATTGGTTAAGTTATGTTGTCATGTTTTAATGGATCTGTTTAAAATATGTGAAAGGAAAAAGATATCTATTATAGCTATTATAGTTTTTGAAATTGGAGTTTGGATATAAAGTTTATTGAAAGACAATAACTCAATCGGATAAAACACAGTAAAAGATTATATCTCAATAGTTTATAAATATTATAACAATTTCAAGAATTAAACATAAATTTTACAAAGACAATCTCAAAAACCAAACAAAATAAATAAGAGAATTGTATTATTGATGAAGAATGCAAAGATCAGAATTCATTTTCCGTCAATCCCTTATTGTGATTCCTTTTGACATCAATTTTCCATTACTTTCACAAATAAAATAAAATCAGGAACAATGTAATATATCCAAGCCCAACCCACAGCAGCACATGGTTTCAACAATATAGGTTTAGTATAGTATGAATATAAAGTAAAAGTACAATATGTATTTGTCTCTCCGAATCATATCTATGAATTGATATTTAGTTAGTCGTTAGTTTGAATTGTGAACTTTTAATTTTAGTAATTGAATTGTTTTATTTCCAAATTATATTGAATTTGTTAATTGAGGATTTAATCCGGATATTACTTTTGTTGATGACTTTTGATGTTAAATTATTCTGGAATTTTGGATTCTTGAATTTTTGTTGAGAATTAAAAGTAAATTTATGAGTTGATGCAATTTCGGATTGATTTAAATGACGAATTGATTTTCACAACATTGAAAAGGTTTTAATCCGACTAATTGCATTAACATATGAATGTTGTTTGTTTGAGCTTGGAAGTGGTATTTCTGATGCGTTTAAACGTTTGCAACTTGTTTACAACTTCATAGCAAAAACACTTGAATTGATAATCGCTTTAATGCATCCGTTTAAGATTTTGAAATTCGATTTTTATCAATATTGGTTCAAGTGTAAGTTGTTGTCCGGGGGATGTAAATAGGTTGCAAATTGCTTTATAAATACGTTTGAGGTTCACTTGAATTCACTTGTGCATTTAATGATGATTAATGTTGAGAACTACCGATTCCATAATGTTTTTCGCGCACATTTTCAATATGGTAAGTTGTTTCCCAGGAATGGTAAGTGACACTTGCATATGGATTTAATGCGCGGTGGATACTTATGTGAGCTTGTTGGTACGTTTGGTGGCTACCGGTATCGTTTTCGGTCAATTTTATTCCGACTTTTCTTACACTTTAAATTTGAGTACAATGTTGTCCGGTTTTATTTCTAACATGTACATTGAGTTTTAAATATTCATATGATGCATGTTTTCACTTCATTGATTGATTATTGGACATTGTTGTTGAGTTGGCTCGATTTCAGTGTGTTTTCGGGTTAATTCTTAAAATGACGGAGGTGTTGCCCCGGTTTTGTAAAGTGTACTTGGAATACATTTTAATTGTTGGTTTATGCATCATTGTACTTGCATTGGTCTTTGTTATATATTTGCATAGAGTTGTATCGATTTCTGACCGACAGTTTGTGTGTTTCATTGTGCAATGTACATGTTGCCCGGTATTGTATTTTGCGCGTCTGTTACTTGTTTGACTTTGATTTATGCATGATAATATGTCATATTGATTTGTGGTGTCAATTGTTGAGTTAAATTTGATATTCCTTGTTATTTTCTAACTCTTCTTGTGATATTGTGCAAGTTTTGAAAGACGATTCATGCGTTGCATTTTACTCGAATTTTATTCTTTGCTTGTATAGCATTGCTTGGTGTGGATATTAGTTGGATGCGCGCATAGCTTATAATTTATTTTCGCATTGTAATATTGGATGAATGTATTAGATATTATATTTGACTTGATTTTTTGTTGATGATAGCTCGCTCGAAGACCATCGAGTTTCTTGACTTGTATTTGCTAAATGATGGACTCTTATCCGTTTGGTATATTTCTTATTTATTTTTTGCATTTGTTTACCGCTTTTTTGATGCCATGAGAAGTAGGACTAGAGATGCATGACATGGAGTCTCTACTTTAGGTGGGAAATCTTTTTAAAGTCCTCAAGTGAGGCGATGTCTATTCTGCTAAAGACCTCCAAATGAGGTGATATTTTTGTTTGCAAAAGACTCATCAAGGAGCAATTTCATATTGTTTGTTTAAAGACCTCAATAGAGGCTTTTTTGCTAAAGTACTCGAAGTAGGTAATTCCCTTTCCCTTTTATATTATGCTTGATATCGACTCAATAAAGTGGAGGAGGGCTCGCAATAGTCCCCCATGCATTCTAGTCTGTGTCGTTCGTAGCTCGCGCCATGCGTTGATGCTTTGAATCGTGCCTATTCTTATTCATTGAGTCAAATAAAATGGAAGAGGGTTCATAATCAACCCCAACATTTTGTCATTCGTTTCGATGATGTTAGCTCGTAAATCAAGTGGAAAGAGTTCCTTACTTCCACTTTGAGATCCATTAGACTCTTTTGTTTGCTATTAGCTCGCACTCAATGTTTGTTTTGGCTTCGGCTCGTTTTTGTTTTGTTCGCACCTTGTTCTTATGCTTTCCATTTGGTTGTAACCTTTGTATGTTCCCTTAGGATTCACTTGTTTCGTTTCCGATGCAAGTTAGAAATTAGGATTGTAATCCGTGCATGCTAACATAGGTAGTGATTTCTCTTTCAAACCTCATCTTTAGGACCATCATTGTATGATACACTAGGGATAAAAATACGTTAGTCCCCTTTAGACTTTTTTCTCTTTCCCTTTTGCATAAATAAAACTAAAACTCTTTTTCTTTGGCAAATTCATAAAATGTTCTAACCATACTTAAATCTTTTCTCAATATAAAAAATACTAACCAATCCAAATCTTTTTTCCTTCGGGCCTCTTTTCTTTGAAAACCTTTTTCATATAAGAACATGTTAATTCCTTTCTACCACAACGCGTGAGTCTCCAAAGGTCGAGCTACAGTAGGATGTGAAATTGGTATTATTCATAAAAAACATACAACACATCAAAAAATTTAAGATGAACTACAAGTATCTTGATCTCTCATTGCACGAAGAGGGTACGTAGGCACCAAAGTTCGCAACCACGGCAAGCACGACTAATAAAACCTTTTTCTTTGTACATAATTTTTGCATACATGCATTTTCCTTTAGCTTGATTAGTGATTAGATAGAACACACCTATTGTACCCCAAAATTTTCCCTCCCATATTTGTCAATACATTTCAAGTGAGGTCCTCAAATTGCTCAAGGAAGTCCAAGAGTTGGCCAGACAAACTCTCTCCTAAGGCAGTCTACCTTAAATTAGGGTTTCAGTTTGCATCAAGATGTTTGAGTCCAAAGGATCCAAAATTCCCACCATTGCCCTAATATTTTCACAAGATCATTCATGTCAATTTTCAAGCCTTGCAGAGGAAGTTTGCTCAGTCAATTGCTCAAAGGCCTAAAAATCGACTATGTTAGGGCAAAAGTCAACTGTGGCCCACATACAGTCAAACTTCAAGATTTTTGGTCAACATTCTCATTTTGAAGTATTATTCATCATTTGATCAATGTTTGATCATGATTCCTCAAGGATTTCTCACAATTCATCAAAACCCAAAAGTTGCTAAATTAGGGTTTTGTAGGAAAAGTCAACTCAACTTTGACCAAGCATAACTTTCTCATACTTTATCAAAAATGACCCATCCAAAGCTCATTTTGAAGAGGATGAAATTCCATATAATACATCTTTAGCTCCCAAGTACAAAATATGCACTCACAAGAAGAAATGAATTTGGACATTATAGGTCATTTTGGAAAGTCAACAAAAACACCTTTTGGGTCAAAGCTTCATACATGAACATGGAAGACTCAATTGAGATGAGACCAAAAGGGTT